TCCACCACACCATCCTTGAGGCTCTTATCAATCAAAACTCATACTCCATTTTTATTTGAAGTTGTCCCTATGTACCAGAGCTTGAAGCTGGTATTGTCCACCTCCTTCGTCTTCTGCCCCTTTCATTTAGTCTCTTGGACGCATAAGATATTTACACGCCTCCTAACCGTTGTGTCCACTAACTCTCTTAACTTACCCGTAAGGGACCCTACATTCCAGCTACCTAAACGGATCCTAGTTGGCTCGACTAGCTTCCTTACCTTTCGCACCCGCCGAGGTAGGTGTGAAGACTCTTGCTCATTTTGCACCACACCCGGGCGCTGATGTGGCGCGCCACTAAGGATGCGACGACCTGATCCTTGCTCACTTGACACCGTGTCCAGATCACGACACGGCGCGTCACGGGGGTGACGACCCTGCCCTTTCTCATTTAACACCATACCCGGGTTCCGACATGGCACGTCGCTAAGAGGGTTACGCCCCCAACGGGATTCTTTTGGATTTCATCTCCATAAAAGTGGCTAAGTTTTTACATTAATCTAATTGCAAATTTGCTACATACATCTGGTTGAAGTTGCAAATACATGCAGTTTCAATCAGAGGCAAGAGCTTTATTCAGGCCAAAGTGGGGCCATTCCCCTCACCCTCCTGCTGCTTGGTTCAAGCTCTCCCACTGGTTCCATTGTTTTTGTTTTGATAAGCTCCTCAACCATTATATTGATAATGCGTAGACTATCTATCCTTCCGAAAGTTTCAGTGGGACTCTTTTGGTTACAGTAATATCACTATAAGCTAGCGATAGAATTACTGATATGTAATATTGTCCTTTATGATAATTATGGCAGATGCAACTGTAATGTTACAAAATTCATAACTAACATTTTAAATTTCTGTGGTTGTTTTTCAGAATCCTTATGTATTGCTACAAATCGTCTTATACATCTATCTGTTTTACACAAAATTACCTGGCCTTGATGAGGTGGGTCCACTGATGGTATGGCTCCTGCTTCTTTTGCCAATGTGTGTGTTGAATCTGCTGGGAACTCATAAGCTGAAGGAATTAGCTGATAAACATAAACGTGACAAGCAGACTTAGCAATTTTAGTTGTCTTGACACTCTAAGCTTGCTTTTATGTGTAAGTGTGGTGTTGTAACACTAGCTATTATGCACGTATCGATAAAATATTTAGTTTTTTTTCTTCTATTTAACTAGTAGTATATGCTGACATATGGCACTTGATGAGAATTTTGTGGTGCACTATTGTGGATATGTGCTAAGGGCCATGTTGAAAGAAGTGTGTGATCAGTTAAGCCCTAGACTTGCAAAGAAGAAAAGCACAATGGAATAGCATGGGATACTGTTAGTGAATCTGTGAATATGTCTTTGCAAAAAACAAAACCAGGGTCTTGAAAAGCACAATGGACCACTCAGTGTGTTCGTGTCACCCTGACTAGACGAGACCTGTGTTTGGAGCAGATAGGCCTGACTCCTGAGATATGTGAGAGTTAAATGCATCATAGCCCAACACTATTTCCATAAATGAATTAATGTTAGCTTTCAGATGATGTTTAATCTCAAATTCTCAAGAATATATTGACAGAAGCCTGGGTCATCTGTTTCAGAGGAAACCAGTGATTCTTTGAATTGGTTGCAAGCTAAGAAAAGAATCAGAAGATGTAATGAAAACATGCAATCAAATTTGTGCAAATATCAATGCTGGCAATGTGGCTGAAGGAGCAGCAGACTATTCACTTGCGAAGCTTCTTTATTGTGCACCAATCAGTGTTTATGCTTTGCTGTCCTAATACTCAAAATCAGTATTGTATCTGTTGCAGCGATGTTACGTTCAAATTTGTTTTGCTAACTAGGTCCCATGTTCCTTGGAACATGGGTGCCATTGCTCCTTAAACATCAGATCCAAGTTGGCAACCATGTATGGCAATACCAAGTTCCATTTCATGGAGGGGGTTATTGCTTTGAAGTTACGGGTGGAATTGAGACTGCAGAACTAGTTGAAACGAATAGGGAGTGAAGATAGGCTTTCTAATTCATTATACTAATGTTTTTTATTCTTTGGTCAAAGAGCTGGCTTGGTACAGACCGAATGGGTTCAACAGTTAATTGACAAATTGCTGCCTTTTTTTGTCTATACCAATCTGCAGCCAAGTGCAGTGTAGACTTATAGTGATTTAACTAAGGATGTGTGCTAGCTATCTACTGGAACTGGAGAAGTAGATTGGGAATTAGAGAATTGGAGGATTGGGTTTATATTCAGGTCTGTATGGCTGGGGTTTTGTCTTAATAGTTGCTAAGCTTCTCCCACTCCGCTTAGGTTCTGTTCATGCTGAAGTACATTAGTGTTTGTGTAATCACTAACTTGAGAACAGCACCAGATGATATATCACCCTAGATTCTACCATTCAGCAGATATTACTTTACTGGTGCTTCCTTGCTAGTTGCTACACACTAGTGGCTAGTCCTTGTACTCAGGTAAACAAAAACAGCACCAATATCCAGTTAGAGCTACTAATCCAGTTAAGCAATACTCTCTCCGTCTATAAAAGAATGCAATTATGGGAAGCGTGCCAGTCAAACTAGCTCAAGTTTGACCAAGTTTATAGAAAATAATATTACCATTTATATCTCTAAATAAATTTATTATGAAAATATATTCTCTAACTAATCTAATGATATTTATTTTGTTTCATGAGTGTTAGTACTTTTTTTTATAATTCTAGTCAAAGTTTAAATTGTTTGACTCCTTGGGACGTGAGAATTACATTCTTTTGTGGACGAAGGAAGTACAAGGCACAAACCCAGGGCAGACAATCTCTACTTGACTTTTTTTTCAAAAAAAAATTGTTCACGACACGTCATCTTGGCAGATGTTTGGCTCTCACCAGAAGGTTCCTCTCTTTGCCCAGACGCAGGAGTACAGAGAACTATTTAGGTGATAAAATGTTAATTAATGAATGGGAAACAGTCTTCAACGATCTGTCTATTTATAGAGATTTGATATCGCTTCTACAAACATGGTTATAAACTAAATCGGATTAGATTAGTTTGCAAATTATTATAAGTCGTTTTGACTTTTATAAATACATAGATATTGCTATACATCTAAGTATACCTACTATATCTGGATAGTAACTATGTATTGTATCTGCTATGTTAGATGCGTAATTATGTGTCTAGATACGCAACTATGTATCGGTACAAGTGACGGCCGGACACTAAGCATTCCGCATCAGAACTCAAAAGATCGAGCTGGGTTCAGTACATCAAGCACTGGCTGATCAGTTCAACGACACATGCGAGCACTGATCAGCTCACCACAGTCCTGCACTCATGCTGACGCCTCCGGGCAGCGAAGCATGTTTGCGACCACGCTGGGTACATTCGCAGCAGGGCTAAGAACAATACAATCATCAACACACTGGGAAAAAAAATACGATACAGCATGAGGAATTGAGAAACGGGTTGTGACTACAGAAGCACCATGCAGCGTGTGAAAACTCGGAATGTCTTATAGAGTCCAGAACAATGGCCACATCACATTTTGATCATTCAAAAAGTTTCAGGCCTTACTGGGAGAATATCATCGCCTGTCTTTATGGATTATTGGAGTTTCACAATCATTTAGCCAAGTTGCAAACCGGTTTGAGAGGTCAGTCGAAGCAATTAGTAGAAAATTTGTCAGTTTTGGACAGTGGCAATCTTCTTGCTAAAGATATCATCAAACAAGAGACCGAGAGTTCAATTAATTAAGTGCATCCTAAACTTGCAAATTCCTTGTTTTACACCACATTTCAATAATTGCATAGGCATAATAGATGGTACGCATGTACATGTTAGCGTGCATTTTGTCAATGTTGATTCACGTGTTTGAACATATGGATATGCTACTTAAAATGTGTTGGCCATATGTGACTTGGATACAATGTTCGTTTTTGTTGCTACAGGATGGCCCAGCTGCTTTACACAAATATGCCAATAACTTTCATATATGTCCTCCACAAGGAATATTGTGTGTATGCTCATTTTCATTAAACAAGCAACAATATCAACACTTTTTGTAATATAGACTTTTCTCTTTTAGGTAAATATTGTCTTTATTTATTATATAAAGCTATCCTCATAGAGAGAGTTACCCCATACAAATTGGAGAGACATGCCATGTATTGTAATTTCAAGGATGCCCTATTCCTACCTTTAAAATGGATTTGTATAACTTGTCCTATTAATCTCTTCACAATGTGATAATTGAGCGATCGATCATTATGCATGGCTCTCCATAAATTTCATTGAAGATAGTGCATTAGAGCAACTCCAAGAGACTCTTTATTATATACTTGTTAATTTATAGAAATAGAGATTTTGGTGAAAAAATATTTTCCAACAGCCTCTTTAATTGGACCTCCAAATATAAACATCCTCTATTTTGGAGTTTTCGGTAGCCAAAGATGAAGATCGAGGATGGTTCTCTAAAGTGTACACGAGTTATAGAAAAGTTGTTGGAGAATACAAAGATATAGAAACCGATTTCTACTCAAATAACTTTCCAAATGATGATTCAGAGAGTATATTTTAGAAAATCCTTGAGGATGCTCATAAGAGAGAGAGATTTTGATAATTGAAATCAATATGGAAATTATATGACCGAGGCATCTTTATCCCAGGAAATGGTGGCAATGGAGCAGCTAAGATATGGAACTCCTAACATGAATGTGTTTCGTGATAATATTGCTAATGCTTGGTTTGCTACGAGGGACTAGTTTTGATGTATTATTTCTAAGGGCAAAATTATGATTATCATACAATGTATCTTTGGCCAGTTTTTTTATATGAAGAAATAAGGATAAAAGTATAGGGCAAATAATGCTGTAAAATGGATAAAAATAACTAGATTTACATCCGACAATGCAGGACGTTACAGTATACAATCCGCAAGCTGCTTTTCATGGTCCAAAGTGAAAGAAAACAGGGCTAATTATTTAGGTCAAATCTTTCCGGACTCTACATTTTTCTTTTTTTCCTTTTTAATGTAAACTAGCAGGACCTGCAGTTTATTAAAAAAAAGAACTAACAAGGCCTAGACCAAAGGAAAATAAAACCAAGACATTGCACTTCAAGAAGAAGAAAAGGTATCAAACATTACAGGCCTATATGATTGGCAGCAAGCTGTTTCGCTCTTGCAGTGTGGGCCTCCTCCTTCACTACATTTTTCTTTGGCCGTAAAGCAAGCACTTAGATAAAAACAAAGTCATAATAAGTTGAACTTAAGTACAAATATTTAAGTTGCTTCACTGGGAAGACAATATCTTGATCATATATAAGCCCCAAATTTCCTTCAGCAACATGATAGATCTTTAATAAGCCTCATCTCACTTCAATTGCGCACATGCCGGTTGGCCTGCAGTCAAATAACGCCATACTCAACAAATCAACGACAAAAAGGAGAACAAAGAATAATCAACGACAAAAAGGAGAACAAAGAATAAACAACCAAGCATCCATCCAAATATGCTTCTGTACGTTTGTGCCCTGTCTTTCCTTACAAACTCCCAGCCTCTGATATCATTTCAGATAACACAGATTATAATTAAAGAAGTAGATTACCTGTCTGGAGGCAGAGCCAGCGGTCTCAGAGACTCAGACATCCCAATTTCTTCGAGAACCTGAAAGAGGAGAGAAAAATAGTATAAGCACAGTATGACATCTACCTTCAGTTCTTCACTCTTTTTGATCAAGTACACTATTGTTATGAACAAAGCCACAATACCTTCGGCCACTTTGTGTAAAAGAACCAAACCCAACCGAGCACTATTGAGCAGACGCCTATGATTCCGATGAGCCATAAAACCAAGTTGGAGGCATTTGCAAAAGCCCGCATTAGGATACAAAATACTGCATAAAAGAATGCCAGCACTAAAAGCAGCAGCCATTTAAGGATTCTAGGCTCACAGCCGTCAATGGATCCCCTCTCTTTCAAGTATGAAGCATGGATTAACAGAATGAAATTGCTTAGTGATGCTATGAAGATTCCTATGAATATGGCCATCCAAATTCCTTCGACGCTCCCTTGCGGCTTTTGGGCGAGGAAGTATGCATACGAGAGAAAGATACCACCACTGATTACAAACAGCTTTTCCATCACAGTGTAGTAAGAACCCAGTAAACCCTGTAGTAAGATAAACAAGACTTAACTAATTGGAGACAAATTAAAGTCAGCATAAATGAATTCCAAAAACATCTGCATGAACATTACTGTTGCCAAGATATCTAAATAACCCAGATATGAGTAACTGGCTGGACTCCTTTGAGTAGCCTTTTTTTGCTATTATGTTTCCTTTTTCTTTTTCTTTTGCTTTGCAAATAACTTTTTTTATTATTAATATACGACGAGTAGGGGCTTGTCACATCTGTTCTTTGAAAAAACAAATGTATCTAAATAGATTTTGACGGATTGGTGTGTTCGAATGGTAGCCAGAGCGGTAAAAGAGAATGGGTTAAATCACCTTCATTGTCTTCTCGTTTTCTGCAGCATTGGCTGTCAACTGTCAGGCATGAACAAGGTGAAATAACCATCAGAAAAGAAAATAGAAGGAGAAGGTACAGAAGGAAAACGATATAATAAATCTGTATCACCATATATATGACACCTGGGTACTGACCTTGCAGTTCTCCATCAGAGGAATGATATTCTCTAACACATCAAGCATCGAAGCAAGTGTCTTCAGGTGAAGTACCCAGAATTTCTCAATTTCATTATTATTGTTTTCACAGGAATGGCTTCCCTCAGTTCTCATCAAATTGTTAGGCTCCTGCTACTCACCAAAGAGGCAAGAAGCCACATTGTCATTATGTTCATAGCGTCCTACTTGTATGCACAGTTCATGGGCATGCACCTAAAACAACTATAAACATTCTATGTCCAGTAACGAAGTCCAGCAGCAGGCTTAATTTGACATGGAACCCATAAAAAATTATTTGTTAAGGTAAATATATAATACTCGACGGAAGCTGCATGCCATATTCAGAAGCTGTAGCCGCAACATATTTTTTAGAAGCTGTACACAAGAATGGGACAAATTACCTCATCATATTTTTCAGAAGCTGCATGCCCACCACAAGAAGTGTCCATATAGGTTGGTCTACCGCACGTCTGCCCATTATTAGCAGGCACATCAACGAGACATGATCATATGAAAATTGAGAAAATGGAGGGACTGAGTTTAGCAGCAGAGAGGAAAATAAGTATACCTACTAGGTGGAGAGACAAGCGAAGATGGACAGCAAATTGTCCTGAAAAATAGCAGATGCTTAGTAAAGTGCAGCTCAACGCCACATCTGACAGACTGACAGCAATCATAATATACGAGTACCACGTCAAGTGCTTATAGATAAGTAAATTAGGTTGTTCAAAAGCCTTGGGAAGATAAATATCTGAATCTCTGATAGCTAGGGCAGGACTGTGGGAGCAGCTAGCCATCGACGAGGGAGAGGAGGGGCTTGACAACGGATGCCGAGGCAAGCGGCGCGAGCACGCGCGGACGGGGTGCAGGCGAGCGGGCATGGGGTGTCGGCGAGCGCCGCGCACGGCGGCGGCGACGGCGGGGCCCGGGCGGCCGGGGCGCAGGCGAGCGCGCATGGGGTGTCGGCGAGCGTCGCGCACAGCGGCGGCGAGGGCAGCCAGGGCGACCCCGAGCCACCAGGGTCCAGCCGTCCAGGGGTCGTCAAGCCTGTCGACGGCCGCGAAGTGGGCCCCGGCCAGGCCGTCCTCGTCAGGGACCACCGGACCACCTGGACGGCGTGGCCTCTGGGTTTAACTGGACTATGGTATCCGATCCGCCGGACTGGCAGCCCAACACCATAGTTTTTATTGGGTGGCCCATCAGTGGCCCATGAATCTTGGTGGTTTGTTTTCCTTCTCTTTCCCAGTGCCGGCCCTAGGGAGGTGCACTAGGTGCGACGGCCGAGGGCCCAGGCGATTGAGGGGCCAACCCTAGGTGCGCAAACCCTCAATCTATATAGTCCATTAGCAGATTAATGACCGCACGCGCAGCCGAGTAGTCGCGAGCGGCCGAGCGAGACGATCAGACAAAGAGTTGCGCGAGCACCGAGCCCGAGCGTGACGCGCGGAGCTGTGCCGCCGTACGGCCGCAGAGGCGCAGACGCGAAGACACATCCACGGACGGACACGGCACATGGCGGCGGCCAGGTCTCCAGAGATGACGATCGGTTTCAGTTCATTAGGACCTAGTTATTTTTTTGTTCGTTTAATCGTTTCTTAATCCAAATTAATTATTTGTATACTATATAATATTCTAGACTTCTACTAATACTTTGTACTCATATAGTCATATTTTTCTTTTAATTTAGGTGTTAAAATTTTAGAATGCTAAGAAATATTTGTCAGGGGCTGAAAAAAGAAAACAAAAAAGACTAGAAGATCAATTTATATTGTAGTTTAGTCTACAATTGTTCCTCGATAATTATTAGACATGTTAAATTAAAAATATATCATTGGATTTATTTTTACTTTGCAAGTACAATTAACGTCTATATATATAATAAGATTTTATACATGGTCTAAAGGGGCCGTCGTGACGAGTTCACCAGAGGGCCCTCGAAATGCTAGGACCGGCACTGCCCTCTAGCCAACCCCACCACTTGGCCGGCCTTCGCCCTCCCAAACCCCTCTCTTCTAAGCCTGCTGGAGTTGGGGAAGAAGGGGATGGGGCAGGCACGGGCATGTGGGCGTAGGAGTTGGGGAAGACGATGACACCGGTAGCTGCCAGAGGGAGGAGAGAGAGAGTGTGTGTTGTGTTGGGGAAGATGGCGGACAGTGCTAGCAGCCTGTTCGGCAGGCCGTAAACGATCGTGGATTATTTACTGTTGGCTGGTTTGGTGTGAGAGAAAAATAATGTTCCAGCTTATAATCCACGATCGTATACGAGCAAACGAAAAGGCGGTTCGGCATGCAGTGCGGGCGCTGGAGCGTGTGGCTGTGCAAAGGGCCAAAAAAAAAACAGCCGTCGTGTATTAAGTCATTACCTTTTCTTAATAATGTATAATATGCTTAAAATTAATAGTTTTAAAATAAACTCCTATGTCCTAAAAAATATGCAATTCTCATCTTTCAGGAATCAAATAATTTTATATTTGACCAAGTCTATATAAAAATATTATCATTTATGCTACAAAATAAGTATTTAGTTTGAGACATAATTGTTAATACTATTTTCTATAAATTTAGTCAAACTTAAGAAATTTTGACTTGATTCAAATCTAGAACGGTGAAAATATTTCATACATGTTAACACTGCATTCTTTTTACGTACTAATTTTAAACCTTAAAAATAAATAGAAACGTATTTTAATTATTTGAGCTATACTAGCAAACGTGTCCGTGCGTTGCAACGGGAAAGAAAGAAATCCTTATTTCATGGGACTTGTATTAAAAATAAGAAGAATCATTTCTTTGTGTAAATATAATTGTACAGTTTGTTCACTAATACAACATTGATTCCATGTAAAATTACCTAACACAATAGCACTATGTATTTTCTGCTTGGAATTTTACATGAACTAAAACAGGGTTCGTGTAAAACTAACATTGGGCCTATCCTCATGTCACGGCATAGCTGCCATCGCCACTGACCCATTGCTCCCTTCCATCTGCCATGGTTTCAATATGTTGTCGCGTGAGTTCTATCTCCGCCACTCCACACCTCCAAAAATACAAAAGAAAAAAATCCCAATCCCCAATCTCAGTAGCCATAGCCAGCTGCAGAGGCACTGACACCAAAACACAACACTTATTAGATACACAAACGATGAACATATAGCCTTAGTGCTTGACCCTCCCATATCATTGTGATCGTGTCCATGCACGCAGACAAGACACTTCTACAGTTGTTATTATAGTAGCACCACGTGCTATTCAAAGAAACAAAAGTAATTAACACTAGTATTAGACTATTACAGGAGCAGCAGCAAGTTGTGTTTTTGTGGGACCAAAGGAGACCAATAAATTGCGTATCACATTCAAATTACTCAGGCAGTGTTTCCCTTGCGCTAGGCGATCTTTTTCCTATGCCTGGACATGAACAGCTTTGCCTGGACCTGGCAGGATCTCCAGGCTCCAACCAGATGAGTTGCAGGCAGCCTCCAGGCACCTCGTCGCCAAGGCTGCTCTGTTCCAAGGTTGGAACCAAACAGCCCCCTGTAGGATTTCATCTGCCAGCGGTGCAGATTGCTACCTGGGAGGCAGCATCCAAACAAGCTCTAACTAACATATTTCACCTAACTAAAGACTGTGGCCTTATTAGTTCAATGATCAGCATTTGTCGGTCTAAATATTTTTGCGCTACTGTAGACTATCAACACTTCTAGAGGATGAGACAAAAAAATTTGAAAATTGTCATAATAACACATTGAGGTTATTAGCACAATACATCAAATAAAATAAGTTCACAAGTGAAACATGATTTAAAATTTATCTATTTTCATATCTAAAATAGGTTATGTTCGTTTCGCTGAAATTTGGCTGCTACTGATGCTTATGTTGATTTGCTGTGAGAGAAAAACATTGTTCGTTCGCTGAAAAGTACTGCTGCTTTAGCGGTACTTTTTGATAAGCATAGATATGCTTCGGGTAATGACCAAGTAAGCATAGACATACGGAGCCGCTGTGAAGCGGTTGTAGCGATCGCGGTCGTTGTCATCGTCATGCGGGTGCTTGGCTTAAGAGACTTGTAATTCTAGTGGTAGTGGCGCGAGGGCCCTGAACTTGCCTTTACATGGCGCATGAAATTTAGTGTAAACATTTAGCCAATAGATCTTGGCATTGATCACAAAGTCATTAGAAGTGGCTCGTGTCGACGTGCACGTGATCTACAATTAAGAATAATCAACCCTAGTTATGGGAGCATTCATATGTATGTATTGAGTTCAAGCTCGAACATATATGTTCAGTTCTTCCAACATAAAAAATCTAGCCAACTAATAAAGCTGCTAAGATAGTTATCTATTTTATCTGTTGGCGCCTTCTCTATGAAGAGCTTTATTAAGCACTAAAAATGTTAATTAAAATATTTGAGTTTTGAAATCTTTACCACACGGAAGAGGCCACCATATATAAATAAGCCGCACGTCCCTATATGATGGCAGCTACACCAAATCATAAACCTACATGTCGGCACACAAGTGGATATTTATTGAGGAAGAAATTAAAGGTGGCAATGCTGAGTCCATTTTTGGATGATAATAGAAAAAAAAACTTTTGACTTCAGCCTGTTGTTCTCTTTCCAAGAGGAATCGGCATCTGCCATTATGGGCCAACTCTACAAAAACACCAACACATGCAATGGCGGCCCAAGCCCGGCCCCTTGCTGCTCGTTCTGCAGCCATGCATAGTAGTTAATTAGAAATAGATAAAATGTTAAAGCTAACAAGAAATACATGCGCGGTGCCATGCATGAAGGCTATCGAACAAGATAGCAACAAAGAGCCCCTGCCCCTACGACAAAAAAAAAAGATCATGGAGGGACTGAAGTGGAGCGCCTTGAGGCCAAGGAAAACATAAAGAGCACTAACAAGCAAAAGATGAATAATGTCCTCAACATCAAGAACAAGAACATTGCTTTCACAAACATCATTGAGGTTTTGCACTTTCTTAATTATTTTGTATTATTCTTGTCGTAGCTATATTTTCTTTCACTTATATGCTTGCTATCATTTAAGATCTGTTTGTGCGGTGTGCTAGAACCAAAGGGCAGAGCTAGGATTTGAGCATAGGGCGGCTGTTCAAGCCAACAACAACCATACAAGATGAAATATATATACAACAGAAGCGTAGATAATAACCAACAAACATTTATTTTATTATACAAAAGAAGGCGAAAAAACCAAAATACTAAATATTACAAAGAAAATGGGAACAAAATTTAATTACACCTTGGTGTATAACCTCCATCCAGTCAATCTAATTCTTGGATAAAAAGGAATCACAGTAATAACCACTATTACACAAATGATTTTGTGAGGCGGTGCCCTTTTATTAACCGAGATGGTCACAAAATCCAACCGTCTTGTAAAATGCCCAACGATTAATGGAGGCGCTCGTTTTATTTACCAAGGCACCAAAAAATAACCGCCTCACAAAATCGATTTATGGAGATGGTCGTTTTATTTACACAGACGGTCAGGAAAGGCCCGTCTCCAAAAATGGATTAAGGGAGGCGGTTATTTTAAAACAACCGCCTCCAAAAATGGTCTATTTTCGGGGCCGCCGGCCCCGCGCCGAGCCCGCCGGGGCCGCCCTCGCCCTCCTCGTCGTCGGCCGCCAGCCACGCGCCGCGCCCGCCATGGCCGAAGCCCCAAGCTCCGAGGCCGGCCTCGCGTGCCCCCTCACGGCCGCTCCTGCTGCCACGGGCGAAGCCCAGGTGAGACCACAGATGCCCAGGCACCTAGGCCAAAATTGAAACTACCTTATAAGGAGAAAAATTTCACCCTTTGTGCACCCCCCTTGGCCCAAAAGAAGGCAACCCCCACCAGCCCAAGCCCAGGTCACAGGTTGCTTCCAGGAGAAGGATGCCAATCGAGTCTCCACAGGAAATTTCGCCGTGGCCGCGCGTGAGTCCACGA